CCAAGGAGGGGGAGGGGGAGGAACTTCCGCCTCGAATGCGCTAGTGTATGGCATGGACCGTTGTGTCACCGTTGGTCGGAACGACGCGAGTTCGCCTCGCCAGCAAAGGTCAAGAACGTGACTACAGGCATGCGCGGATGGGTGGCACGTTTTCCGCACCGCCTGCTTCGAAGCGCGCCGTGCAGTACACGAAAAGGCACTGGCGACACACCCCACCACCCGTTCAAGGTGTCGGGTACTAACTGCCCGGCTGCGATATTTTCCGCGGATATCCAGTTACGTGCGATGTCATTGGCTGCGCCGATTACCCCACGACGGTGCTTTTATCCCCAAGCCACCGATCCTAGCTCGGCGCGATTGTCGATCCGCCGGGAATGGGAGAGGGGGAGGAGGAACTTCCCCCTTGAGTGGTGGGAAATCGCGGCGCTGGTGATGAAGCGAATGCAGTTGTCGCCTTGCGAGTTTGCGAGTTTGCCACACTGACTACAGACAAGATCGCGGTCGCAGCGCGCCTTTCCGCGCTGCCTGCTTCGAAAGGAGAGTTTGCTGCGGCGGGTAAGCGACAAAAGGCACTAGCAACACTCCTCACCTTCAAGGTGTCGGGTACTGGCGTGACAGCTGTCATAGGATCTCCTCAATTTATGACCGTGCGTGATTTATCAACCACTCAATCGAAAGAGAATGGGACTTGCATGATTGTCGTGAGTGACTGTGGTCCATCAATATCGGATACTGCAAAACAGTGAACACTGTCGTTTGCCTGGGAAACAATGCCCGTAGACTTTCAAGAACAGTAACGTGTGCAGTGACGGGGAAGACTAGGGTCTCTCTCCGTCGTTGTGGTTCAACAAAAATTACGGGATCAAGCACAATACAGTAGATGTAGACGTTAAAGCACACACGTGCCGGTGGGTGCACGGCGATGCCGGTAGCCTGCTGCAGACTTGCGGAGGGGCCTGGCGGTCGTGCGCACCGACGTGCTGCTCGGAGCTCTATCGCACCGCCATCTAGCGCAGTCGTGGGCATTGAGGGAAGGAACTGTACCGCGGAGGCTATCGTGCAACGAACGCAAGGTCTCAGCCTAGTATTGTCGATCCGAGGAGTGTCGTGCAACAAACGAAAGGTAATCAGCCTAGCGTCAAAGCTATCGTGCAACGAACGAAAAGGTTCCAATCAGAGCATCCCGAAAATTTGGCTCTCAAAATCCTAGTGCATAACCCTAACCCTAACGGCGTGTTGCAATTGCCGGTGCACTGCATCGGCTCAGTATAGCTCAGCCGACAAGCGACCCCGCCCGGATGAGCTCGCTGCCCGCGGGCAAAAAAAATAAACCCCAGTCGGGCATGCATCCGGTCAGGGAGGCATCAACCCTAAACACGGGGAGGCATGGATTTAGGGTTGATGCCTCCCTCGGATGGCATGCCATCCGATGGGGTTTTAGTTTTTTTTCTGCCCGTCGGTCAGGTCGACGGTGCTCGACGCTCCGTCGACCACCGTCGGACCCCGTTTGGTTGAGACATACGGCTCGGAAAATCTCAGCGGAAACGGGTCGTCAAGCCCGACGACCCTCTGACGACTTGACCGGATGCATGCCCTTCTGGGGTTTATGTTTTTTTGCCCGCGGGCAGCGAGCACCCCTGGGCGGACTTGCTTGTCCGCTGAGATATACTCTTCGGGACGTCTGGAAGGCTCCAGGCAGGCGGGAGGCCAAACACGGGCAACGGTTCGGGAAAGAAAAGTTTCAAGATAGTGATTCAGAAAGTTATTTGGTAAGGTTATGTTAGGACATAAAATTTGCTTGCGCGTTTTCTGTAAACATTTTATGGCCTCTTGCGTTCCTGGAGCCTTCCTAAACCCGTGCCACGAGCCGAGCCGATGCAGTGCAACACGAATTGCAACACGCCGTTGTGGAAAGGACACTGGGATTGGCCTCTGGTTTGGCCGGGAGGGCTACAAGCTAGACGCTTGGGAGGCGTGAGCGCGCCCACGCCTCCCAAGCGTCTAGCTTGTAGCCCTTCCGGCCAAACCAGAGGCCAATCCCAATGTCCTTTCCACAGCCGTAACCCCAACCAAGTCCCTGTTCGATACCAAATGGTTGCGCCCCAGGCAACCATTGGGGACTCAGGGCTCTCCTTTGCACGGTATTTTACCCTGATTTCCCTACCAATCAGGGTGATTTTTTCTACCCACCTTGCCAAAACTGGGTCCCTTCCAATTCCCACCCAGCCACAATCCGGGTGCGCTGTATTTTTACGCTGCTGAGTCCGGGTTTGGACTTCTGTAACTCGGTAGGGACAGGGTTATCTTACCAAAAACCCAGCCAATATTTCAGCACACCCTGTTGTCTAAGTACAAGTTTCAGCTGAGTCCTCTCTATCGCACTTCTGACTGAAACTTGTTTAAGTATAAAACTGAGCCGAGAGATCTCTACCACACTTCTGTGATATTCGTCGAAGTATAAAGTCGAGCGGATTACTCACTACTCCCTGTCAAATTATAATGTTGTGTAGGCTATAGTGGGGTAGCCCATATGGGGTACACATTTCTAGGGTTGCATATTTGTGTCACTTCCATTCCATAGTCATTCATTCTCTCGTTCACATCTTCTCATGGTATCGTGCAGGTTCCCCTGTGGGAACTGTTCCTAGGGCCCACCAAGAATTTTTTTTTTCCTGCCCGGAGCACACTTAGCTCCTAACCCTAGTAGCGCCTCGAGCCGCCCTAGTGGTCCCTATTGGCTGCCCTTACTGCCCCTCGAGCCACCCGCTACGGCCCCGCTTTGCCCGGTCGGCCCCGCTACGGCCCCACTTAGGCCTCGCTACGGCCTCGCTACGGCCCCGCTACGGCCCCGCTACGGCCCCGCTCCGGCCCCGCTACGGCCCCGTCGGCCCCGCCTAGGCCCCGCTACGGCCCCGCTTAGGCCCCTCTACGGCCCCGCTACGGCCGCGTAGGCCCCGCCGACCCCGCTACGGCCCCGCTTCGGCCCCGCTTCGGCCCCGTCGGTCCCGTCGGCCCCGCTACGGCCCCGCTTCGGCCCCGCTTAGGCCCCGCTGCGGCCTCGCTACGGCCCCACTTCGGCCCCGACGGCCTCTCTACGGCCCCGCTTCGGCCCCGTCGCCACCGCGGCCCCGCCCACCCTAGCAGCCCCACCGCCCTTCTCAGCGGCCCCGCCGCCCTTCTCTGCGGCCCCGCCGCCCGTCTCAGCGGCCCCGCCGCCCGTCTCAGCGGCCCCGCCGCCCTTCACGGCGGCCCCGCCGCCTCTCTCACTACGGCCCCGCCGCCTCTCTCAGCGGCCCCGCCGCCCTTCACGGCAGCCTCGCCGCCCTTCACTGCGGCCCCGCCACCCCTCCATACGAGCGGCCCTACCGCCCTACACCGCCAGCGCCGCCCGAGCCGCCCAAGCCGCCCGAGCTGCTCGACCCGCCCGAGCCGCCCGAGCCGCCTGAGTCGCTGAGGAACCGAGCCGCCCGACCCGCCCGAGCCGCCTGAGGAGCCGAGCCGCTGGTGCCGCGGAGCCGCAGTTGCTGCTGAGCCGTCCGAGCAGCAGTGTTGCCGTGTTGCTGTGCTATTGAGCTGCCCGAACCGCCCTGTCTGGTGAGAGCAGCGCTTCTGTCACTGCACTGTCCCTGTCCTACAGTTGGTACTTCTAGTCTACTGTTGTCATGGCTACCCCTAGTGTCCTCGCTTTTGACGCTAAGGGTCGAGCCATTGACTTTGAGGTCTTGGTCGACGACCTGCACCTCTTCTTACAGTGCGATAGGGCAGACGGTCTCTCTCTATTTGACCTCACCTCTGGCGCCTCTCCTACCCCTGCTGCTGATGCTGACCCCACTGTTCGCTCCCAGTGGGCCACGCGCGATGCTACTGCACGTCTTGCTGTGCGTCGCCACCTTCCTACCGCTGAGCGCGCGCACTTTAGTCAGTACAAGAGTGCTCAGACCTTGTACGACGCTGTAGTTGCGCGCTACTCTTCCCCTGCCACTGCTGCACAGAGCCGCCTCATGCTACCGTACCTCTTCCCTGACCTTGCTGCCTTTCCCACAGTCGCTGACCTCATTACGCACCTCTGCACTAGCGACACTCGCTACCGCGCCGCGCTTCCTGCTGAGTTCTGCGCAAAGACCCACCCCCCCATGTACATCACTCTCTATTTTATAGTCACCCGCCTCCCTGACTCCCTTCGTGTAGTCAGGGACCACTTCCTCTCAGTCTGTCCCACCACTCTCACTGTTGACCTCTTAGAGAAGGCCCTCCTAGCAGCAGAGAAGAGCATCGTCGCTGTAGGAGCCTCTCGTGGTGACCCTCGCACCCCCATCTTTGAAGGGTGTTCTCCTTCCCCCCTTTTGCCCTCTCTCGCCTCTATCGCTGCGGCCGACCTCGTTGGTCTTGAGTCGGTCGGTGCGGCGTCTGCCCCTAGCGAGAGACGCCGCTCTGGCAAGGGCAAAGGAGGCAAGGGCACGGTTGGAGCTAGCGGGGGCGGTGGAGGTGGCGGTGGAGGCGGCGGAGGGAGTGGGGGTGGCGGTGGGAGGGGTGGCGGGGGTGGAGGTGTCGGTGGCAGCAGTGGAGGCGGAGGCGGCGGAGGCGGCGGCGGTCCTAGCGGAGGAGGCAGTGGTGGCGGAGGTGGAGGAGGCGGTGGTGGAGGAGGTGGAGGTGGTCAGGGTGGCGCTTCACAGTGGAGCAGCCCTGGTGGTGGTTAGCGCCAGCAGCAGCAGCAGCAGCAGCAGCGTTCTCGGGACATCCTACCCCCTCAGCAGCTCCGTGAGTGGTACACGCAGCGTCAGCGTGGTGGGGGTTTTGGTCCCTGCACCTACGTCCTTCGCACCGGCGACCGCGCGGGTGAGCAGTGTGGGGGTGCCCACCCCACCCAGCGCTGCTTTGGCCGCCTGACGGACGCTTGGCGTCAGCAGTTCCGGGAGGCCAGTAAGATCCCCCGCTGGGGAGAGCTGTCTAGGGCCGGCATAGCTATCTATGATCTTGACTTTGAAGCTATCCTTACTGCCATGTATGCTGTGACTATTAGTGATGAGGGTGAATGTTACCGGTGTTTCCCGCCCGACCCGGGCATTGGTACGGCTGCTCTAGGTGCTAGTGAGGCTGCTGCTCTAGGTGCCAGTGCCTCTGCACCCTCAGGTACTGGTGAGTCTGCGCTCTCAGGTACTACGTCGGCTTCGGCCTCCCTCACCTTCACTCTTGACTCTGGGGCGTCTCGCTCCTTCTTTCGGGACCGCACCACACTCACGCCGCTTAGTCGGCCGGTTGCGGTGTCTCTGGCTGACCCCTCTGGGGGTCCTGTCCTGTCTCGCTTCTCCACAGTCCTCCCGTGTCCGGCGGCTCCCTCTGGCACCCTGTCTAGTCTCTACCTCCCCTCGTTCTCTATGAACCCGGTGAGTGGTGCTGACCTACAGGATGCGGGTGTCCACCAGTTCACTCCTGCGCGCCAGCGGGTGACGCACTGCACAGAGGCTAGCACAGGCCGACATCTGGCTACGTTTACCCGTCAGCCGGGGTCGAGCATGTACACACTGACCACTGCGTCTCCTCCCGTTGCTGAGTCTGGTAGGGTAGCTGCGTCGGGTCAGGTGTTTGCTGCAGCGTCCAGGTCTGGTCCTGAGTCTGCCCCCTGTTCGTGTCGTCTTTTGTCTCTCGAGACTCTCCTCTAGCACCACCACCTTGGTCACCCCTCTCTGCTTCGGCTCAGAGGCATGGCCTCCCGTCTTCTTGTGTCTGGTCTCCCCCGGTCCCTCCCTCCCCTTCCTCAGGGCCCTGGCCCTACCTATGTCCCCTGTGTCGAGGGGCGCCAGCGTGCTGCCCCTCACTCCTCCCAGTTTCCTCCGAGAGAGGCCCCGTTGCAGACGCTTCACATGGACGTGTGGGGCCCAGCCCGCGTCCGTGGACAGGGTCACGAGCGCTACTTCCTGCTCGTTGTTGACGACTACTCGCGTTACACCACAGTCTTCCCCTTGCGCAGCAAGGGTGATGTCACTGAGGTGCTGATCGATTGGATCCGCGCGGCTCGTCTCCAGCTTAGGCAGAGATTTGGCTCGGACTTTCCAGTTCTGCGTCTGCACTCGAACAGAGGCGGAGAGTTCTCCTCTGGCCTTCTGCGAGCCTACTGTCGTGCACAAGGCATCCGTCAAACCTTCACGCTTCCGGACTCTCCACAGCAAAATGGGATTGCTGAGCGCCGCATTGGCATGGTCATGGACGTCGCCCGTACGTCTATGATGCATGCGGCTGCCCCCCATTTTCTGTGGCCGTTTGCGGTCAGGTACGCGGTGCATCAAATCAACCTTCACCCCAGGGTCTCCAGGCCGGAGACCTCCCCAGCCCTGCTGTGGACGGGGAAGGTTGGCGATGCGTCGGCGTTCCGGGTCTGGGGATCTCGGGCGTTTGTCCGCGACTTGTCTGCGGACAAGCTGTCCCCTCGCGCTGCTCCTTGCGTCTTCCTGGGGTACCCCCCTGACGCGCCTGGGTGGCAGTTCTACCACCCCACCTGTCGCCGTGTTCTGTCCTCCCAGGACGTCACGTTCGACGAGTCGGTCCCCTACTACCGCCTCTTTCCCTACCGCACTACGTCCCTCCCCCCGCCCCCGCTCTTCCTTGTACCAGGTCCCCCCCCGGTAGACCCCCTCCCCCCTCAGGGTCCAGCCCCTTTAGGTGTGCCCCAGGTAGACGCAGTCGAGCCTGTCGAGGTCACTGGTGACTCTGGTGCTGCTGGGGGTGCTGAGATTGGGGGTGCTGAGCCTAGGGGTGCTGAGCCTGGGGGTGCTGAGCCTGGGGGTGCTACGCATGGGGGTGCTTTGCCTGAAGGTGCTGGGCCTGGGGGTGCTCAGCCTGGAGGTGCTCTGCCTGGAGGTTCTCCGGGTGCTTCGTCTTGCCGGGAGCCACTCTCTCCACAGGAGCTGCGCGAGTGGTTTGCCCGGCGCTAGAGCCATGCTGCTGGTGCTGGAGGTTCTTCGGCTACTGAGGGTGCTGCTGTCGTGGGTCCCGAAGGTGCTCGTACTGGGAGTACTGGAGCTGCTGGGCCTGCACGTTTGACTGGAGCTGGTGCTGCTGAGGGTGTTGGCGCTGAGACTACCTCTGACGGTCCTGCTGTGGGTGCTCATGGTGCTGCTGGAGGTTCTGGAGCTGCAGGAGGTGCTGCTGGAGCGGGTGCTCCTGGTGGGGGTACTAGTGCTGTCCCTGATGTTTCAGGCGTCGCCACGCGGCCTCGACCGTACTTCGTTCCACTCCTGCAGCAGGTTCTTGGTCTTCCACCTTCTACTGGTCCTCCTCCTCCCTTAGAGGGTCCACACCCTGTCCCGTCACAGTCAGAGCTCCAGCCTGCCTCCCCTTTGTCTGCTCCTTCTCCCTACGCTGGTCCTACTGGAGGTCTTACTGAGCATCGTGAGCCTGAGTCTCGCCCTACGTCGCTTGTCCATCCCGCTCGTGCTAGTCGTCGTGGTTCACGTCCGCGTCCTCCTCCTGTCCGTGGCACGCACCGGATGTCTCTGCGTCCGTCCATTGCTCCTCTGCGTGCCCCTTTGCCTTCTCCTCCTGAGTCCTCTCTTCCTGCTCTTGCCGACCCGGAGTCGGACTCTCTTCGTTTGCCAGTCCTACTGTCATGCGTCTCCTTGCTACTGTCGTCACTGACCCTTCTTTCGAGTCTACTGCTGCGTCTACCCTCGTTGCTGAGCTCGTCGACTTTGCTGCTCGCTGTCGCCTAGACTACACTGCTAGTCTTGTCGCTGAGTCTGAGTCTGTCTGTCCTCCGTCTGTCGGGGGTGAGTGTGCCCTTGGCACGGACGTCCTTGAGGACAGGCAGGAGTCGTTCCATAGTCTGGCAGCTGCTTCACCTCATCTCGTGTCCGTACTGCTTACCCCTGAGGGAGACCCGGATGCACTTGACATCCCGACTCCGCGCTCTTACGCGGAGGCGATAGAGAGTCCCTACTCCTCTCAGTGGTAGGCAGCTATGGATGCAGAGATGGCTTCCTGGAAGTCCACAGGCACCTACGTTGACGCTGTCCCCCGTCCTGGGGCGAACATCGTCAATGGCATGTGGATCTTCAGGGTGAAGCGGCCGCCGGGTTCTCCGCCTGTCTTCAAGGCGCGGTACGTGGCTCGTGGCTTCAGTCAGCGGCAGGGAGTTGACTACTTTCAGACCTTCTCCCCCACCCCGAAAATGACCACTCTTCGGGTGCTGCTGCATGTTGCTGCTCACCGTGACTACGAGCTGCACTCTCTCGACTTCAGCACAGCTTTCTTGCAGGGCAGCCTGCACGAGGAGATCTGGCTGCGCCGCCCACCTGGCTTCACTGGGTCTTTACCTCCTGGTCCCTAGTGGAGTCTTCGGCGTCCAGTCTACGGTCTCCGCCAGGCGCCACGTGAGTGGCACAACACACTGAGGACTACACTTGCGGCTCTTGGGTTTGCTCCTTCTACTGCCGACCTGTCGCTGTTTCTGCGCACCGACACCTCTCTGCCGCCGTTCTACATCCTCGTGTACGTCGACGACTTGGTCTTTGCCACAGCTGACACTGCTGGACTCGCCTACGTGAAGTCCGAGCTGCAGAAGAGACACACGTGCACTGACCTGGGTGAACTGCGCAGCTACCTTGGCTTGCAGATCACCCGGGACAGAGCACGCCGCACCATTACCCTGACTCAGTCACACATGGTGCAGCAGGTCCTTCAGCGCTTCGGCTTCACGTACTCCTCGCCTCAGGCCACTCCTCTGCCTACTCGCTACTCACTCTCAGCTCTGCCTTCGGATGAGTCTGTAGAGTCGAGTGGCCCGTATCCAGAGCTTGTTGGTTGCCTCATGTACCTGATGACCTGCACACCACCTGACCTTGCATACACTCTTAGCATTCTTGCACGTTATGTAGCTCCTGGGAGACACCGACAGGAGCACATGGCTGCAGCGAAGAGGGTGTTGCGCTGCTTGTGCAGTACGTCGGGCATGGGGCTAGTGCTTGGAGGGCGGAGTCCAGTGGTCCTCAGTGGGCACGCGGACGCTTCTTGGGCTGACGACCAGGCTACGCAGCGGTCGTCACAGGGTTACACCTTCAGCCTTGGTTCCGGCTCTGTTTCGTGGCGGGCTACTCGCTCGTCTTCTGTTCTCGGCTCCAGTTGTGAGGCTGAGATCTACGCCGGGGCCATGGCTGCCCAGGAGTTTCGCTGGCTCACCTACCTGCTGACCGACCTTGGAGAGCCGCCTCGTTCTCCTCCAGTCGTGTACGTATACAACAAGGCCATGCTGGCCTTGTGTCGAGAGCAGAGACTGGAGCACAGAACAAAGCACATTGCTCTTCCCTACTTCCTTGCTCGTGAGCTACAGCAGCGTGGTCAGTTGCGGCTTGCGTACGTGGCCTCTGAGGCCAACACTGCTGATGTTTTCACCAAGGCACTTGCGCCTAGTGATCATCAGCGCTTCTGTACTCAGCTTGGTCTTGTGCCTGTCTTGCCTCGCTCACTTCTTTACCTTGCTTGTACTGTCACATATATATACTCTTGCTCTTGCTTGCTTAGCCTCTTATATATATATGTGCTCCTGCATGTGAACTGGCCTTCTGGCCTTGAACTTGTGCTCGGAATGTGTGGTGACTTTGTGATCCACCCTGAGCTTTGCTTTGCTTTGCTTGACTGGTCTTGTGACCCCTTGTTCTCCCCCACTTTGCCTATGGGGGTGTGTCAAATTATAATGTTGTGTAGGCTATAGTGGGGTAGCCCATATGGGGTACACATATCTAGGGTTGCAGATTTGTGTCACTTCCATTCCATAGTCATTCATTCTCTCGTTCACATCTTCTCACTCCCTTCTGTATGAAATTCGCCGAGTATAGAATCGAGCCAAGAACTCTCTACTATCCCCCTGAAATTCGATGAAGTATAAGTCGAGCGGAGATCTCTCTACTCCACTCCTTTCTCTGAAATTCGTTGAGGTTAAAAAATCGTCGAAAGCTCCGAAATCCCGTATTTGGACTGAAATTTGTCTAAGTAGAGAGAACTTGTAGTGTCTAATTACTCCCCTTATCTCTTTGAAAATTCGTCGAAGTTAAGAACGCACGCCTTTTCCCAAATACCCTAGCCCTACTAGAATTCTGCTAAGTAAAGCAATACGCAAGGCAGGGTTGCTGAAAATGTAACCCTTCCATGAATCAGATTTTAGAAAGAATACCCTGCCACTACCCTGGCCGGGTGGCGGGTGGGGTGAACCCTGAAATGGAAGAGTGCCTCAACACGAAAAGAGAGGCCTGTTGGGGAGGAGAGAGTCGCAGAAATGGTTGAGAAAATAGATAAATTACATGTTGAGTTACAGCGCCGGCAGGGTAATCATTGGAGCCGACGCCTCGCTGGCTTCATTCACCTAGTGCAACGGTCGAGGTGGTCGAAAAACTCCACCTCAACGGCCATTTGAAGTTGAAAAACTGTGGACTGGGGGCCATGATCAGCGTAAAACAATTTGCTGCACTCTTAATGTCAGAGACAAAAAAAAACCAAAGTGGTTCAGATCGGTTCAAGAACGATTTCGCTGTTTTGAAAGTACTTGGCTATTTTCTGGCTTAGCCCCTTTTTGTCTAGACTACCCAGAAATAGCCCATTGGTCTGGCCCTGATGTGACTTCTCTGAAAAGTAGCTTTGGCAATGTCCCCTATCAAACTTATATGCTATAGTCTATCTAGGCTGTAGTGGGGTAGACACTAAGGGGAATGGTTTCCTAGGGTTTCATACTTGTACCCTTCACATTCCTTAGTCAATCATTCCTCATTCTTCACATGGTATAGAGCGGGTTCCCTAGTGGGACCGTTTTTTCCAAGGGCCCACCTTCGATTTTTTTTTTTAGCCTGCCCTACACGCGCTTCGAGTCCTGCCCGAAAATTTCACGGCCCCTTAGTGGCCTGCCCCTTAACGGCCCCTTAGTGGCCCCTTCGCGGCCCCCTTAGCGGCCCCCTTCGCGGCCCCTTCACGGCCCCTTCACGGCCCCTTAGCGGCCCCTTCGCTGCCCCTTAGCGGCCCCCCTTCTCGGCCCCTTAGCGGCCCCCTTCGCGACCTCTTCGCTGCCCCTTAGCGACGCCCTTCGTGGCCCCTTCGCGGCCCCTTCGCGGCCCCTTCGCGGCCCCTTAACGGCCCCTTCGCGGCCCCTTCGCGGCCCCTTAGCGACCCCTTGGCGGCCCCTTCGCGGCCCCGCCCCGTTGCCCATAGCGGCCCCGCCCCGTCACCAGTCGCGGCCCCGCCCCGTC